TATTCCCCTCCCCACATGAGCAGGACTCTGGATCCCTTCTCTCTGGCCATGGCTGGTTGGGCTGTTTTGTGAAGCTGTAGAGAAAGAAAAAGGTTTCTCTTGCAAGGTCACCCTGCTAATTGTGGCTTGGGAACTCCAGAGTAACTCAAGTGCCTGCCCTTGCAAATCTGCACCACTCAGCTGCTGTTTTTTCCAACATGTGGGGCTGGAGAACAGCATTGTTGCCCTCAGCCCATCAGGAGAAGTTGGCACCAGGCTCCCCAAGACCCTGAGCAGCCTTCAAGGCATCAATCTCTGCCCTCCCCCCTCTCAGAAGTGTCCCCCAGCCTCAGTCCAAAACTGGGATTGCTCCCCTTAAAACTGTTTGTGGTAAGGTGCTGCTGTTTTCTACCCCTCTGTGGGATGGGTTTTCCCACCCCTGGAAGACTGTTCTGGATTCAGGGTAAAGAGGAGCACAATAAACAGGCCTGCTTGAATTTGTTTCCCAAGCCTTGGATCCCACAGCAATGGAGTTTATGGGACCATAGCACAAGTCTGTCTGTCTGTCCATCCTCTGCCAACAGCTTTGGAAAGGTTGGCCTGTGTCAGCTGAACTTGAGAGGACCTGTTTTGCAAAAGATGGAGCTGGAAAGACCCACGGGGGGAAACCACAAAGTGACCCAACCCTTCTGGACCCATCCCCCTGCAACGTGATCCAGCCCCAGCGAGAGGAGCAGGGGGAGCCACCAGGGACTGAGACGTGGAAAACTGGGCTGCTGCTGCTGCTCAGGGAGCTGTTTGTTATTTTTACAGGCTGGGAACAGTCTCACAGTCCTCGGTGGTCGTGGCTGCTGCACGTCGTGGCCATCAGTGAGCTTTTTGCACTGGCTGGGCAGCCAAAGGCACAGGAATAGCTCCTGATCCAGGGAGAGACCCTGCTGGTTTGCACGAGTACCTGGAAGCCAAGTGAAGAGCCTGCAAGAGGGGCAAACCCTTCCTTCCCCACGGGAGTGCACTGCTAAGATGCCTCCAGCCACCTCCACCACCCTTGGTGGGCACATCCACTCCCTTTGCTGCTGCTTTCCTGCCCAAAAACTCCCTCGGAGCGAGCAGGAACCCTCAGACCCACATGGCCACGAGGCAGCCCCCGACGCCCCTCACCTTCCAGCCACCCCATCAGAAAGAAACCAAGCAGAGCTGGAGTGGGTTTGATTGATTTATCCACTGAAGATACAAGTTTCAGTTTAATAACACCATTTTGTCCGGTTACAAACATACTAAAAACCTACAAAAAAGAAAAACAAGTTACACCCATATACACGGAACGCAGGTAGAAAACCAGCACGGAAGCGCCGAGGAACACGAACATGAACAGGATCTGCGGCAGGAACAGGAAAGACACGGAGTTACATCAGACCACGCTCATGTCTGTGGGTCACGCTGGGGCTGGGTCAGACATACCAACAATTAGAGACAACTTCAGCTATGGAAAATAACTGGCAGCCTGGCACAGAGGTCAGGCCAGGCGGGTGGTTTGGGCCCTCCCTTTCCCTAAGCTGGTCCAAGGTCAGCGCGCGGGTTTCCCTTTTATCCCTCTGCCTGGCATTGGTGGTGCTGGCCCCCACGTCCCCACACCAGGGCAGCTTCCCTATGGCCAGGGCAGGGAAGGCTGAGTTCTGGCACCAGAGTCCAGCCAGGTGACATCTGGTTCGCCCTGAAGTCGCTGAGCATCCCCTCGGACAGCGGGGACACACTGTGACCTCTTTCCTGGGACAAAGTGGCAGAGATGTGAGAGGACTCCCCTGGGACAGGGGATTTGTCACCCCCCAAGAGAAGATGAGGTTGATGGCACAAGGCCCATAAGGGTTCTGGTGGTGTTGGGGGGGTCTCTCTAGCTGGGTGCCTGCAGAGCTAAACCTGCCATGAATGTTGGCCGTGGAGGGGGAGACACGGTGGGTGGGATCTGTCCCCATCCCAAACCAGTGCCTCCCATTCCCCCCAGTGCCCAGCAGCTCCCTCTGACCAAACACTGAGCTGCAGGGGAGGGGACAAGAGCTGGTTGATGTGAGCAGGTGCTGCCAGAGAGAGCCAGCACGAGGTGCTCAAGGGGGACCCTGCCCCAGGGACACCGAATGCCCCCTCACTCAGCATTTCCCACCTGGATCACAGCTCCAAGCCCTGATGATATTGCCAAGGTGTGGCAGAGCCAGGGGCTGGCTGGGTCTGGGGGGTACAGGGGTGGGACCAGCTGGCCCCCAAGATGTGCTGGCAGTGATGCCCTGAGCCTCAGCTGGTCACCTGTGAGCTTTGGGGAAAGGACTTTGCGAGCTGGCCCCTACCTGCCACCACCATGGAGAGCAAAGCTCAGCCTAAGTGTGCCCTAAGCTCGGCCTAAGCGTGCCAGGAAGTGAAAGGTCGAGCCCCAGAGAGCAAGACCTGAACAAAACGGGGATAAAGGGGCCCCCAGTCAGCTGTGGGGGACCGGGGGGAGCAGTGACAGGGAATGGCTGTGCATGGGTGTGTGTGTGTGCCAGAGAGCCACGCACAGAGCCAGGACATGGCCCCCCCTTTCTGCTCTTCCACATGGCATTTATCAGCCCTGTTGCTCTGGAATGGTGCTTTTCCCTTACTCTGTTGATCTTCATCTCTCCCCAGATGAGAATGTTCCCGGATTCCAGCAATGCCTCCTCTGCTGCGGGGGCAGGGAGGGAGGGGGCGTTCCTTTCATCTCCATCTCCTCCCTCCCCAGCCTTGCCCCGGCCGCCCTCCTGCTTCATGTCACTTCCTAGGAAGCTGATAAAAATAAACGTGGTTTTGTTTGCATCTCTTGGAGTGGCCTGCAATTGGGCTGATGGGGGGGTGCTCCTCGAGGGACAGCAGCTGCACACATCTGGATCTGCTTTAGGAAAAAGTGCCTGGAAAAAAAAAACCCAAGCCCAGCACAGACACACACGTGGGCGCAGGAGGCCACGGGTCAGCTTTTTCTAGGGATGTGAAAAAAGAAAGGAGAAACCAAAGCACTGTTTAATGGAAGGTGGGGGGACCTCCCTGCTGCTGCTCCCCAAAAACCAAGGCACACGGGTAGGTTGGGAATGAACATGGAGAATTTCCAGACACTCCAAAGTGGCTTCTCTGCAGACTGGGAGCCCAGTTTTGGTTGAGGGAAGTGGTGGGGGGGGGAAAGGGTTTGCGCTGCAAAAATAAAATTCCCACCTGGAGATTATTAACCTCAAAGGTTAATGTGCAAATTTTGTCTAAAAATGAAACATCCCTGTAGGGAAACATCCCTGGCCCAGCATCCACAGAGCACGGGGAGTACATGAACCCCTCAGAAACATGTGCTGCTGGCCTCAAGGCAGAGTCAGCAAAGCCGTGCTCGTGGGTGCCGTGATGTGCACACACACAAACATCACCCAACAGTCTTGATCCAAGTGATCCCTCTCCAGTCCTGCCCTGGAGGGACATCAATGGCTGGACAGGCTTCTCCCATCCATCCCCACCGCAGGCAGCAGCAGCAGCTGTTTGAGGGATGCCTGCACTGACCCCCGAGGGATGAGCAGCCATTGGCACCTTCACCACTGCAGGCTGGTGGGCTGAATTTTGGGGGTGCTGACTCTAACTGACAGCCCACCCCATGAGCAAAGCAGCGTCACTTGTCACCCTGTCCCTTCCTTTCACACCCCCCTGATCCTGCACGCTGCCATGCCAAGGACAGCTGTGCCCCAGCTGTTACTGCCACCCAGCTCTCCGTGGGTGCCCAGGACGTGCCATTGCTCCTCTCCATCAGCGGCAGTGTGGGATGTGGGAAGGAAAGGACTGCAAGGCCAGAGTGGCTGCAGTGACATTATTGCAGTCCTGGGGCTGTTTTGAGACATCATAAACCTGTTCTGTTCCTGGGGAAGGGGAAAAGCACAGGTGGGCAAAGCGGGAGTTTCTGTCTGTCTGTTTGCTCTGGAGGAGGGAGGTCAGCCTGGGGGAGTGACCAGTGCCCCCACAGTGCAGGGATGTCCCCAAGGTGGCTGTGGGGATCCCAGCTGGAACTCTGGGCTTGTTGCCTGTCCAGCTGGCATCCAGGAGAGGAGCTGGTCTCTCTCAGGAGGCTGCCAGCTCCCAGGACAGCGGTGGAGCGAGGCCAGAGGAAATCTCAGAAGGGAACCCTCCTCCCACTTCAACAGATAACATTGCCCTTAATGCTTGAGCTCTAAAAATAGCAGAGGCCTTTAGGGAAATATTGGGTGGCAAGGATTCCAAAGCTTCCCAGCACATCTGACATTTCATCCTCAATCCTTTGCCATTCAGTTCCCAGAAATGTTATTAATCCAACCCCATGAGGGCAGGAGGCAATGGGGCTGCTCCTCCTCCCTTTTTCTTAACTGCAGGGGAAACTGAGGCACAAAGCAGGCAGACTGACCCAGAGGTTCAGGAGCAGTTGGTGTTGGAGGTGGGGTGAGTGCTCCAAGCCCTGCAGCCACGTTTTGGGGGGTGTGGGATTAGCCTTTGTCAGGCACAGGCAGGAGCACTGCTGTCCCCAGGAGGGACACAGCTCCTGCGTGGGCTGAATTCTACCAGGCACTTTATTTGGAGGAGCCCAGTCTCACCACGAGGGCAGGAATCTGCTCTACACAAGGTATTTACTAATGTTAACAGAGAAGGGACCTTTCCTCATAACCAGAAATCACTCCTGTTATGTCTGTGCCACCTCTCCTCCTAGTCACAGCCTGACCCCCTTCTCACTGAGAGGGCAGAGCTGGGCAGACAGACCTACACACAGCAGCTCCCAGGGCACATCATGTACCGGGCAAGCCCCTCCTCAGGGAGCTGCAGGGCAGTGGGTGGACTCACCAGCTCCCCACGTATGGCACAGGGATCCCACCCACACGCCATGCTCTGAGCCATGAGGGATCCCCCAAAGGCATCCCCCTCCTTCCACTCTCTCGTGCTGTGGGGGAGCTTCTCTCCCACCCCAGGAGGGTCTGCAGCAGCCAGCCAAGGACAGGGGCTGTGGGTGACAGGAGAGGGCAGGGGCTGTGGGTGACAGGAGCACAGTGGGGTGATGAGCACCCAGAGTGGCTCTGGCTGTCAGCCCTGCCAGGTGATACCCAAAGTGCAAAGCAAAGCGTTCTCGGTGCCAGTCGGAGGTCTCCAGGTGTGCCCCCAAAAGCCAGGTTTAGCCAGGGGCCTCACATGGAAAATGAGGGTTGTGTTGTTCCTCAGTGAGCAGGGCAGCAGCACTTGTGCAAGGGACTTTGAGATGGTGCAAGTGAGGTGCAGGATTTGGGAGGTGGTGATGGACAGGCCAGGACAGGAAGATGGAGCCAACAACCAAAGCTCTCCCCTCGCCCTCTGCATCCCCTTCCAGCATCCCCTGCAACTGCTTCACCCCGACCCACCCACACCCTTCATGGTTCTGTGGTTTTGTTTGGTTTTTTTTTGGCTTATTTAGTTTGTTTTTAAACCCCGTGGAGATCAAATTGTGACTTGGCAGCTGACAGAACCGGCCCTACCGGGCTCCCCAAACCGAGCAAAGATCTTGAGAAGAGACCAGAGTGAAGTCCTGGGGTGAGCGAAGCCCTCCCTGCCCCTCTGGTGGCCCCCTGGGCGCTCACAGGGTGGCAGTGGGGTACTGAGCCCAGCCCACCTCCTTGTAGGCTGCTGTCACATGGGTGTAGATGAGGGTCTTCATCTTGCTCCAGGCTCCGTGTGCCTCCGGGGTGAAGTCGTTGGGGTATTCCTCAGCAATCACCTCCAGCATGACGCCAGTGAGTTTCTGAGGGGAGGCAGACAGCAAGGAAGGGGTTAATAACTCTCCAAGGAGCTGCTCACAGCAAATTCGGCTTTTTCCTACAAAAACACACTTGAGTGCTGTTGCTGTCTGTAGGACACAGATGTCCTGCAGGTCTCTTGACACCCCTGGCAGCAGACAGCACAGGTAACCAGCCTGCCCAGGCAGCAGAGGAGGCAGCTGCTTGCAGACTGAGGCATCTCCCCAGTCTGGGCACCCCAAGTTATTCACAGAGTCATTGAATATTCCAAGTTGGAAGGGACCCACAAGGATCATCAACTCTTGACTGAATGGCCACGTGGGGATCAAACCTGTGATCTAGGTGTGTTACTACTCCCATCAGAAAGAAACCAAGCAGAGCTGGAGGTGGGCTAATTAGCCAACTAATTGAGTCTCTGCTATCATGCTTAATTTCCAGAAGAAGGGGGACACCGGCACAAACATGGGCACAGCCAGGTGGGTTTCCCTGGGCAGGGGGAGGCACTGGGTGCTCTGGCTGTGTGTGGGGATGGTGGTGTCCTACACAGGACAGTGCCACAGTGGGACACTCCAGCTGTGTGGGGAGCAGCCCCCACACCCAGCCAAGGACAGGCAGCACCAGCTCACCACAGCTCCTGCTCCCCTGCCCTCTTCCTGAAGCAGCCCAAAGGTTATTTTACTCCTGTCCTTTACCTTGAAGTAGACGGGCTCCACTTTGTGCTTGAGGGCATGGGCCTTGCCCACCAGGGCCAGGACAGAGGAGACCTTTTCAGAGTCGTTGAGGTTCTCCACCACAGTGTTGATGGCCCCCATGACCCTCCGAGCGTGCTTGCGCAGCTGCAAGCTCCTCTCCATCTCCAGAGGGTCCTCCATGTGCTTGAACTGGCTGAAGTACTGCTTGGCCGAGGGGAAGTTCACAAAAAACCTTCCAGAAAGAGCAGACGTGAAATGCCATCAGGAGGGGGTGAGCAGGCTGAGGGGTTAAAGCAAAGCACGGGGGATGGAGATGGTGGAATCCACCCCCTGTGTCTCACAAAGCCAGGGCTGATTTTCCTATCAAATTCCTCAGGGGCTGCAGCATTCAGCTGTCTGAAAACCAGCAGGTTGATGCCTTTTCCCCAAACCCCATCTGCTACAAGGTCATCACAGCTGGATATTCATTCTCAAAGCAGAAGCAAGACTGAGTTCTTGATGCCCAGAGACGCCACCCAGGTGTGCCAGATGCTGGATATGTGCCCACAAACACCAGAACATCCCATCCTGCCTCAGAGAGCTGGAGATGAGCATGAAAACCTCTCTGTATCCCATCCAGCCTCTCCTTGCCCCTCTTCCTTGCTCTCATGGGCTTTATTTCTGCATTGCCACCCAGAACAGTCTCCCCTTGTCCAAGCTGCCCCACCTTTCATGGATCAGCCCCACCAGAGTCTCCAGCAGGACCCAAGGCCTGAGCTGATGTCACTGCTCATTTGGGACATTTTTCCCAGCACAAGGATACTCCAAAAACTCACCAGCCCCTCTGGGAGGGGCCTGGAGACCCTCTTTTCTGCAGGATTAAATAAACCCAAATGAAATGCAGCTGAAAGAAATTAAATTGTGGTCACAGCTCATATGCTGGGCTCCCCAGGGAGGTGGAGAGCTGGAGGGGACAAGGAGTTGAAGGGCACAAGGTAACAGGGACCGGGGCTGGAGCCACCAATGCCAACACCACCCATGCCAGGATTGCAGCTGGGGCTGACACTTGAGTCACATTAACCACCCCCTTCCACCGAATTTATGCGAGAGAGAACCACATCCATGCTGGTTCCCCGCTGTCACCCAGCTCCCTCCCTCCTACGGGGCTCTCCCTGGCTCCTGGGCTGGTGAAGGATGCTCAGGAGGCAGCAGAGTGCTCCCAGGCTGTCCCCATCACTCCTGGCTCCAGGCAGACTCCCTGCTCCCCTCCCTGACCCCCTTCCCAAGCACCATCCCAATCCACGGGAACCTGAACCCATCCCACCTCTCTCTCCAACCATCACTCCTTCTCTCCAGAGCCAGGTGGGATCCTCATCCCCACTCACCACTCCATGAATAATCACAATATTGAGTACCAGGCTCCTTTACCAGTTTGTTATCCTCCTTTCCCCCCCTCCCTTCCTTCCCCCGCTCCCTTGGCTTGTGAGAGCTTGGGGGCATTGCCAAGGAAGCGGCTGAAGCTGTGCCTGGAGTGCACCACCGCTCCTGCTGCTTCCCCAGGCAGCTGGGATTCATCAGATGGCCCAAAATAGGTTTTGGAGGTGTGAAGAATGTGTGGCAGAAAGGGTGGGGGAGGAAGGAAGGTGGAAGGGGGAGACAAGGTGTTGCTTTTGAAACCCAGAGGGGACCCACGACAAAACTCCTCTTGTTGTTGTGCAGCCTCCTCCCCCCAGCACAGCTCCTCCTGACACATCTGGTCCCTGTCGGGAGAAATCACTCCCAGGCCTGGCTGTCTCCCTCTCCTGCTGCCACAGAGATGCTCAGTCCTTCAGCCCAGAGCTGTCAGAGAGGTGCTGGGGGATGCAGCTGGCCAGAGCTTCACAGACAACATCATTCCCAGGATCTAAGACTTCTGCCCTGGGCATTTCCCCACAGAAGGGCAAGTGTTCCACTCTGGTTTAATGGAACCGTTTTTTCCAGCTGGATTCAGCATCCCTCTGCCCTCATCCCATTCCTTCCCACATCTCTTCAAGCTTGTGCAGCTCCAGTCACCCAGCAAAGCCCTCCAGCACCAGCAGGGATCACCCTGCTGGGGTCAGAGCTATGGGTTTTACCATCTCTGCTAGTGGAACTTTCCCCTTCACAGGCTCCCCCCAGGCACTGGGAGCAAGGGATGTCACTGGGAGTGGGACCTGCTGCCCCAGCCAGGGAATGGAGGCTGCCAGCTGGTCCCTGCATGCCTCAGCCTCTGAACCCCAAAGCATGGGAAGCTCCCTGAAAAGCTGTATTTTATCTCAGCTGAAGGGCAGGATGTTCTCAAGGCATGAGAATGAGTTGAGAAAAATTCCTGGTCTGAACCAGGAAGGGAATGGCAATGGGGGACTGACCTCTGCATCATGAGGAGTCACAGTGTGGCCCCAACAAGAGAAGGGCCAACAAGAGACCCAGGGACCATCACCTGCACCTCTCCCCACTTTTGGACAGATGTGCCAGGAGCAAAGACTGGTCAAACCCTCAAAATACCCCAACCAGTGTGAGACCAGACCAGTGAAGGATCCAAATACTTGGTTTCCAGCCTTTCCCTGCTTTGCAGGCCCTCAGGCTGATGCCCCTACGGGAGCTTTCCCAGGAGATGCAAAACCAGCAAACCCTCAGCTCATGTGTTCAATCCTGTGTCTGCTGGATTTCTTTGGTGAAGAACTGAAACAGAGGAGCCCAAAACATCTTCAGGAGCAAACCTATGGATGGCCAGAGACCTGCAGCCACCTCTCCTTGGAGAGCAGCAGACGCCTGCAGCAAGAACTTCAGCCTGGAGCAAATATTTGAGCTGTCAAACCACAAAGAAGAGGGAAGGAGGCTCACTCAGTGGTAGTTGTTAATAAACAGAGAAGATTAATTTAACACAAAGGTTAAATATAACCAGAGGAAACGAAGAAACAAAAAAAAAAGAAGAAATAAAATAATCCAACAATAGTGAGTTAGAAGAGGTGTCTGTTGGGGTTTTTCCATCTACAGAAAATTTTGAGAGTTCAAACCTCTTGGGCTCTGGAAGTTTTTTGGATCATTATGTGTGCGTGTGTGTGGTTTGGGCTTTTTTTCTCCATCAGAGTCATTAAAAGATGATATTTACCATTGCCTATCACACAAAATGATGATTGATAGGAACCAGATGCCTGCATACCGATCTCATTAAATTTCTTTTTAAGCGATTCCATTCTCCGCCCGCTAATTTGTACTCTGCCAGCGACATCTGGACCCAGTGGACAGGATGTCAGGATTGCTTTTCCTCTCTCTTTTGCCCTTGTAACAACTTTAAGGACAGAACCATTCCCAGTAGCAGAGCCAAAGGAAATAATTAAGGTGCAACCCCACTGCAGTTACTGGAAACCTGTTTTCTGTTAGGAGGAGTGGCATCTCCTCCATCTCTCCCATCTTCCTCCCTCTCCCCAGAGCACACAGATCAAATCCTGCATGGAGGAAACCTCCAAGCCCAGCACCTCCTTGCCTCCCCAGCTGGAAAGAGGACACCTGGGTGCTACCTGGTCCCCCCAGGCACCTAAACCCTTGCTACTCCACTTCCCCTGTTTGCAAATCGTGGGGTGAAAATGCTCACCTCAGACCTGCTGGGAGGCTTCAGCTGAAGCCCCAGCCAGCAACTGGAGACTGCTTTTTTTTTCTAGATTTCCACAGAATCATTTAGGTTGGAAGAGGCCTTTAGGATCACCAAGCCCAACTCTTAACCCAGCACTGCCAAGCCCACCACTAAAACACATCCCCAAGTGCCACATCTACACATCTCTTAAATCCCTCCAGGGTTGGTGACTCAACCTACCGATGCTTTCATGTTTTCTCTCGCCTCGTCCCTCTACGTGGGAGAAACTCTGAGGCAGCCTGGAGCCTCGGTGTCCCTTTCAAACCTCTCCTTCCAACTCCTCTCTGGGGTGCCTACAAAGCAGCTGATAATGGGTAGGCAGGTGCTGTGTGCTGCTGCTATTTATTATGCCGAGGGCTGGCTCACTGCTTTGCCTGCATGTTCCCCCTGCTCCTCCCAGCCACCTGTAGCCCATCATCCCCTTTTCAGGCTGGGGAAAGGCTGCTGGCTGCTGCCTGGGTGTTTACCCAGCCCAGGGTGAGGAAGGTCTCAGCCATGTCGGTGCTACAGCTCAGCAAGACAGAAAAAGGCAAATCTAGCGAGTAGGAAGAGGATGGTGCCTGCCTGCCTGCTCCCGTGTCCTCTCTCTGAAAGCTCCTGGACAGGTGGAGGTGGTGGTGGGAAACATCTCCAGCTCTGCCATGGGAGGGCTGGAGGGAAAAGGGCCAAGTCCCCATCCACACACTAATGCTAAATTCAACTTCTACGGCTGAGAGAAATGTGTAGCTGGCCTTTCTCCTGGTGAAGCTCACATCCTGCTGCAAAGCCTTGGGAGCAGAACCCAGCACGATGCTGAACCGTGCTCGGAGGCTGTGATGCCCCAGTGCCCAAGGCACAGGGACCAGGACACTCCAGTGAGGCTGGGAGTCAACTCCTCAGCAAAGATTCCACCAAATACATTTGGGCAAGAGCTAGAAACCCCCAGGGGCAGGTCCTGCTGACTTCCATGTGCACAACTCACACCTCCAAGTCCTCGTTGCTGTTGTCATTCCCTACCACATATGTGGATTCAGCCCAAAGCTTCTTGGCTGCATGGATGAACCTTTAGGGCAGGGGTAAGGACACCTTTCACAGGAGAAGTGAATTAACAGCACCAAAGTGGCTTTCCCACGTGTCTCTGGAGACCTACCTCCCTTGGAGCTGGAAGAAGACCCCTGGCTGGGTAGAGAGGTGGGTAAGACACATCCACAAGGACGTGGTCCATGTTCCACTCAGACTGAACCTGTGTGTGGCTGGTGTCCACCACCACCACCCCCTCTCCCATCCAGCACTCCCTTGGTGTTTCCAGCCAGCTCAGCTCGGGCAGGATGGCCAGCCAGCCGGCACTCAGCGTTCCCCAGGCACCCTGAGCGCCTGCCAGCCTAGCCGGGGCTGTCCTGACGTTTCCCTGCCGTTAATGAGCCCTGAAGCTCCGCCACCGCAGCCTCATTAACGGGACCGGCTGGCACCGCCGGGGCTTGGCCCTCCCCGCTGCTCTGGAGGGGAATTGCCACAGCTGGTACCGACCCATCCTCAGCCACAGCCAGGGAAACTGCCCGGGCACACTGCTCACCCTCTTGGCTTGCCTTGGTCACGGATATCCTTGCGGATCTCGGGGTGCT